AATTAAGAGGATATTCTATGTCCATGCTTTTCATTGGATGACTGCTTTTGTTTAAATATGATATTTTCAACATTTTAACTTTGAACTTAAGTGATCACAGCACCAAAGAGTGTTTTATTCTATTTTTTGAATTGTGTGCATGGTTATTTATTTTTAATAAAACGCTTAAAATTATGATTTTTTTATGAGCGTTGTATTCATAAGAATTTAGAGAAGACTGAATAATTGTTAGTTAAAAGTTCTCAGGAACAGGATGTGAATCCCAGATAGCAGAACATCGTTGGTCCAATCTTACATTATGTTTGTATTATCGCTGTTTGGTTACATTTAATGGACAAACAAAGGTCCAAAATGGAATATTGATATATGTAGTTGATTATGTATAATGGGGCCAATGTTGGGCTATCTGTTGGTGTTATATCATAAAACTACCCGGTATTACATGAGAGAAAATATTTGTTGGGGGATTGGCATCGGCCCCAAGTTGGCCCAATATACCATGAATCTGATTGAGTATCATGGGTAGACACCATCCGGGTTACTTGTAATATCCGCGCCATTTTTAATCTGACACGAGCGGAATGAGACTGATGCCTTGCATATCTGCATCCACTTTGTAAGTATTTATAATATATTTGCTTCGACACAGCTTAATTAATGTTTATAGTTTAAACGATATCTTGTACAAATCTGTGTAAATAAGTGCAGAGGCCAGGTGCTGTCGAGACAACACTGTCCCAGATAGCATGCTAACATTGGGCCAACGTTGGGCCAATGTTACCGGTTACATCTGGCCAATGTTGGCAAATGACATTGGCCCAATGTAAGTTTGCTTATCGGCCCAATGTTGGCCCGATATGTTGTGCCGACGTTTGCCCAATGTACATGTAGAATGTTATTTCTACAGATGTTGGCCCAACGTTGCGACAACATTGTCCAATTAAATGAATGCGATACTGGGCCAATTTTGGCCCAACGTCAACAATAACATTGGGCCGATGTTGGCAAATGACGTTGACCCAGTGTCATTTTGCTCATTGGCCCAATGTTGGACTGATATTGGACCAACATTGGACCAATGTGAATAATATTTAATTGTTACAAATCTGTATATTAACAAATTCGGTAGTCTCTAAAATCAGAAATAAATCTACCACCAATCCTTCTTGAAAATACAAGTTAGCTAAAATAAATTTACAAGGCTTGTTAAAATTCTTAATATTCATCAAAACAAAATAGATTATCTGTGATTAAATTTATTGTTTCTAACTTTCTATACAAGAAAAATATATGAAAGTATAAAATAACAAATGTGTTTTGATACAGTTAAAACAATAAATTATTTGCCCCTTATTTAGATTGAAATTTGTGTCTAGTAGAATAAATTTCTACCACTCATTTTACTTGTATACACTTAAAGTCGAGCACGTATGACCAAACATGTTGAAAATGTTGAACATGTTAAAGTTAAAACAAAATTTATTCAGTGCTAAAGGATAGATTGGGTTCTTTCATTTAAAATGTGTTCAGTGTACTAACAAATTTTCTATACATGTATTTAACTTTGAATAATGAGTTATATGGCGTAACATTAAATTAAAATCGGTGTAATGGTGATCAAACATAGAAATTTTATGCATAAATGCCTTCATCACGCAACCTAATCGCTTAATCACACCATCAAACAAAAAAGACGGTTATTCTTCAATTGACAGCTTAAAAATATAGTGATATACTTATAAATTTAATCGTATGTTTACTCTTTACTGAGAAAAGTAAGTAACAAATGTATAAAGTACCAAATACTACAATTTTAGTGGTACTGAAGATTCTAAAAAGACATTGAGAACACAATCAAAGAATGGCTAAAGTATGCAAAGGACAGGGATGGGGGAGGAAGAAACGGACAAAGAAGAAAAGAAGGGGGAGGAGACTCTGGAGAGAGAAGAGGAGACTTAGGAGAGGGATCAGATTGAACGCGGCAGTGTCTAACTTTTTCCTGTTTGGGCTGTGACATACCTGTATTTCTCTCCTTTTCTGTGTCTGTTTGTCGGTAACAAACATGATGCAGATGTCAGATACATTTTTATGTGTAAGTAAACAAAATTGCGAGATTCATTTTAGTATTATTTTAAGAAAAGGAGGTCTTTGTTTATTTTTAAGACGTGCTTATTGATATCTGCAATTTACTGAACTTGCGCATAAATTTACATCAGAAAGGGAGTATACAATCATTTAACCCTACATGTATCGCTTCAAGTGAGCATCAACTTTTTGTTCTTTATGTTTTCTTCATACTTTGAGCAATAAAATATTAGTATGTTATAATTTTATTTAATAATATGATTTCTTTTTGCTCAGTTTTTTAATTAATGTAGAGCTACTTACAATGTAATACTTGTTGATGGTAATTCTTTGAGATATTGTGAATATGTATTAAACTATTAATCTAGCATATATAAAGGGCTTTTACCAATAAACTGTACTACAAAACTACGATAACCTTATATAGTTTGTTATTACATTTTGAGGACAAATGGCCAGCCAGTGAAGAGCAAATGAGTTGTCCTGATGGAGAGCCAATAAGATACAAACCAACGTTGGTCCAAAAATTGTGTTTGCCTCATATTGAAAAAATAAGTGGCCCATCAATGGCTGAATGATATCCGTTCGTTGGTCCAACAATAAGCCAACAAGTTGGTCTGATTAAGGACCGATGAGCAAATTACCGTTGGCCCAACATTAATTGCTTACAATGGCCCAACTGTACAAAAATGACGTTTGCCCAATATTGAAAGAATAAATTGGCCGAACAGTGGCCCAATATTAACTGTTACATTGGCCCAACAATAAGCCCACAAGTTGGATTGATTAAGGGCCGATGAGCAAATTACCGATGGCCCAATGTTGAATGCAAACGGTGGCCCAACATAAGGAGCATTGTTGGCCCAACAAAGGTCCAACATCATCCTGCTATCTGGGCAATCGATTGATCATCTTCATGAAATTGAAAAATCTGACAGTTATTCCTTATATTTACATGCTTTGATTCCGCCAATCCACGTGCTCCAAGCCCTGCTTCTGTCTAGCTGTTTGTCCCGCCCTGCACGTGGTTTTTTTTGGAACTGCGCCAATACATTGATGGAGAAATAAAGTACATTTACATTTGGTAATTTTATCTCGGACAAAGACATTGAAAATGTAAATATTAAGTATTACATCAGAAAACGATATCCACATTTCAATTAGTGTTACAATAAGTATTACTATCAAATGATAATAACCCGTTTTCTAAAAACATCTGTGTTCACATATTCTAAATTAAAATAAGAACGGAGTAGAGGGTATACAGACTTATATTTTATACTGCTCTTCAGTACATGTTTTATCAATCCTTGGTCGTATACCAACACAATACAATAACAATATCTATTTGAAGAGGCAGATTTGTTTGCATTAGTTATGAATCATGCATTAAAATCGTTGCATCCATCACGTTGTCTGCAAGTTTCTAGTGTTGAACGTACGTGTGCTCTTCAAGCTTTTGTCAATTAATGAGTCACTAGTGAAGGGGTAAACAAATGTATAATGTGCATATGCATGTTTACAATGAGATCGAGTACATTTAAATCACTCAAGTAGATTGTTTTTTTTTAAGTCAGCTAGAATATATTTAATTAGTCTTATCAATTAAGTGACAAGAGATCCTACACAGTGTCACACAAAAGTAGATTTAGTGAAAACATTGCACTTATTTTTAACTTATAAGTATTGACTTTTTTTTAATACATTTTACCTCTACAATTCAAAATATTCCTGTTGATTTGTACTAAATTAATACTATTGAAATTTAAAAGCTATAGGTTATGTTTGGTCCAAAATCATAAAGGATTATTCCTGGCTTAGTCAGAGACAACAAAGAGTTAAAGAATAAACCATTGAGTTTTTTCTCGTTTTTTATTGAATATTCACCAGCATTTTCAAATACTCATGCATTATGGTTGTATATTTAACGTAAGAAAAGTCGTACGTTTTGATGTTTTGGCGATCATAAATTTTTTAAAAGATCCTTGGAGTATTTGGGAATCCACATCTAATATTTATTTACGTCACCTTTAGAATATGCTGTAGGGTAGTACGTCTGAAATTAACAACAGTTAGTATTTCGTGAGGAGTTAGGATAGGTCTCAGCATTTGCTTAACCCTGCAATGTATCACTATTTATCAGGATTCTTATGAACCTTAGGAATACAATAGGATCAATACAATAAAGGTAGGATAGACAGAACTCACCTTGGATGATTGGAATGTTAAAAAATATCAAATACCTAAATGTGCGCATCGTCTCAAGCCACGATTCGAAGTTTGCACAAAGCTCTCTTCTCAGAATAGAGGAGGGTCGTACATTTTGGCCATGGTTTGCGACAATGATAAATGTGATTTAATAGCATAGTCAATAAGTCCCTATCCTTACTCCTCAAAAATATTTGTTGTTAACTTCAGAAGTACTGTCATGTTATCATTTTCAACTTTATATTGAAACAAAGAGACAATTAATATATTCATAATGAGAAAAAGGCAGCTGCTGTCGACCATTGCTTGATTGAATCTCCTGAAGTTTCTCCTTCACTGCTATTTTACAGTGTTTTAGTTATGAGTAAAGAAAGAGGCTTAATGTTAGAATTTACTGAAACCAGCTAGATGCTTTTGTTTGTAAGAATTTTTCTAAAGTTTCGGAATCTTATATACCAGTGGTAATAAAAATTCATTTTGATTATTGGGGAATATAAAAAATATTGAAATAAATATTCTCTTATTTACACTTTAAGCTTTGTTTACGGTGGACTCAGACAAATTGTACTGGATTTACAGTGTATCTCTATAAATATGTTTATTCGTGAATATTCTATAAACATTATTATGATCCTTCTATAGAGAAAATATTTTTTTTAATTCAGACTATTTCGTTTTTACTGGGTGATCATATTTCTTCTCTGTCAAGGACAAGGATCGAGCATATTCTTATGTTTGTAAATAAAACCACGTGATTATAAAGTATGCACATCGACGCAGTTTGTGTGCAACCATTAAATATGGTGTACAATAGATTTAAAAAAAAGGTAAATATTCTCTTTTCTTTTTTACCTACCTAGTTTGCTTGATTTGTATATTTTAAAGATTTTATGAAAAACATGATTTATTATAACTGTCTTTGCAGTACAAAATGGACAGGAGAGAGTTGAGAAACTACGTGGACATGCCACATCTCCACCCCGAGAAAAACGTCATCAGTGGGGTAGATGTTTACAAGAACGGACGAATTCGACATGAAATAAAACATGATCTGGAGAAAAAGACAACATCCGTTCCCCCACCATCGAGGAATAGATCACACAGTTTGGGATCTGAGGGCGAGCCCGCCTCACCAGTTGTTGGATCCCCCAACTCAAGTTCTGGATCCCCACTGTCATCCTCATTACCGGAAGGGTTTTTGACCAAAGCCCTTCAGATGGACAGGACACGTACAACTGATGAAAAACATATAAAAGAGGACCTAGACTTTTTGTGGCAATAGACATATATGGAGGTCAATTATCTGTAGACATTGTACATAGTATTGAATTAGGTGAAGCAATATTTGCACTGATTCATTATTTTTTTGAATGAAGCAAGTTGATGGGTGTTGAGGTTTTATGTATATATTCATGTTTATATTTAAAAATTGATTTTGATTATGTCAGATAGAGACATCAATGTTTTATAAAATATTTTATTATTAAAAAAAAATGTTGTATTTTCTCAACATTTTGTATTGTATAGACATACTTAGTAGCATTTTATACATTAAAAATACTTTTGAATAAAATTTCTATGCAAAAAAAAAATAAAATAAATAAATAAATAAATAAAAAAAAAATAAAATGAAAATAATAAAATAAAAAAAAACTTTTTTGTTTTGTATCTCGATCTAGTGTATTGTCTCTCTCGCCTGATTCACATTCAATCATTATTGATGTTAAAATTGGTTGTTCAAATCAATGTGAACTAGTATAAACAAAAACTTCCATACTTCTCCTCTCTACAGCTGTATAGATACATAACAAGACGCCCAGGGGCCACATCCCTCACCTGAGAAGCTTTGACCATTCTGTTCTTTACCAGATTTCCCCCTTGTAATACATAATGCATCTTCACCCTACCCCACTGATCATAATTTAGACATTTTGAAATCTACACTACCCCCAGGATCCTTCCATGTGCACATACATGTAAGTTTCATATTTTCTGGCCCAGTGGTTCTTGAGAAGAAGATTTTCAAAGATTTTTCCTATATATTTCTATGTAAAACTTTGATTCCCAATTGTGGCTCTACCCTTCCCCTGGGGGTCATGATTTGAACAATTTAGAATCTACACTACCCCAGAATGCTTCCACATAAGTTTCAGCTTTTCTGGCCCAGTGGTTCTTGAGAAGAAGATTTTCAAAGATTTTTCCTATATATATATCTATGTAAAATTGATTCCCCATTGTGGCCCCGCCCTTCCCCCGGGGGTCATGATATATGATTTAGAATCTACACTATACCAGGATGCTTCCACATAAGTTTCAGCTTTTCTGGTCCAGTGGTTCTTGAGAAAAATTTTCAAAGATTTTTTATATATATTTATGTAAAACTTTGATTCCCCATTGTATTTCCGGGGGTCATGATTTGAAAATTCAAACTATCTTACCCCAGGATGCTTCCACATAAGTTTCAGCTTTTCTGGCCCAGTGGTTCTTGAGAAGAAGATTTTCAAAGATTTTTCCTATATATATCTATGTAAAACTTTGATTCCCCATTGTGGCCCCGCCCTTCCCCCGGGGGTCATGATTTGAATGATTTAAAAAAACTACCCCAGGAAAATGCTTCCACATAATATATTTCTAAAAGTGGTTCTTGAGAAGAAGAAAAGATTTTCCCTATATATATATATGTAAAACTTTAATTACATTGGCCCCGCCCTTCCCCCGGGGGTCATGATTTGAACAATTTAAAACTAACCAGGATAACATAAGTTTCAGCTTTTCTGGCCCAGTGGTTCTTAAAACTGAAGATTTCAAAGATTTTTCCTATATATATCTATGTAAAACTTTGATTATTGTGGCCCCGCCCTTCCCCCGGGGGTCATGATTTGAACAATTTTTACAAATCCACATAAGTTTCAGCTTTTCTGGCCCAGTGGTTCTTGAGAAGAAGATTTTCAAAGATTTTCCCTATATATTTCTATGTAAAACTTTGATTCTCCATTGTGGGCCCTTCCCCCGGGGGTCATGATTTAACAATCTACACTACCCCAGGATGCTTCCACATAAGTTTCAGCTTTTCTGGCCCAGTGGTTCTTGAGAAGAAGATTTTTTAATGATCCCACCCTATTTTTGTCTTTTCTTGATTATCTCCCCTTGTGAGGGGATTTGGCCCTTTATTTTAACAATTTAACTTTCCCTTCACCCAAGGATGCTTTGTACCAAGTTTGGTCAAAATTGGCCCAGTGGTTCTTGAGTAGAAGTCGAAAATGTGAAAAGCTTACAGACGGACAGACAGACGGACGGACGATGGACAAAATGTGATCAGAAAAGCTCACTTGAGCCTTCGGCTCAGGTGAGCTAAAAATTAAAAACAAAATATAAAATTTTCAATGATAGTTGTTAGTTTCTTTTTATCGTAGCCTAATGTATTGATACATTTTATGGATGATGAAAAAAACATATTTTCATCTAAAATTCAAATATCTTTGCTTAATAGTCTATTCTTTACTAGTGATTGATATTTTTGTTAAACAACTTATTGTTAATAAAAGTCATATTAATTGGTGTTTTAAAAAGGAAAATGTAACGTTACAATTTAATATATTTTGAAAAAATGAAATATATGAAGTTTTGTTACTGTAGAGTTCTAAGAACATTTTCAAGAGTCTATTTTATAATTATGAGGGAGGGGATCGGGTAAACTGTAGGAGTGTGAATAGAGAACAGAGTCAACAGATAAGGGAGGAAAAGGCGGGGGCAAATTGGCTCAGGGGGATGGATACATGGTAATAATACATTACTTTGAGCTGTTTTTACTAATCTTGGTATGTTATATTTGGATGTTTTAATTGACTACAAAGGATATGACTAACTGACAACTTCTCCGTCAACTTCTCTTATAAATTTGACTACGGATTATTCCGTATACATATTTGTTCAATACATAAGGCTAACGGTATGTGTTACTGATCAGATTGGGAAGCTTATTTCTCTAAGCCATCTGATCCCAATTCTGCAATTTCCATTGGTCCATGTTTTATGCTCTGTTCACAAAATAGTATTGTTTATAAGATTTTGGGTACGTTCACTGTTCCTTATTTTATTTTTATCTATTAAAATTGTGAATCATGGAAAAATTGATAAAATCTCTGGAATGCACATGTATTAGAATTGTCAAATCTCTGTATCTATAGTAAAATATCAGAGAATCAAAAGAATGAAAACTTAACCAGGTCTCTATTCTTTTAAATTAGAGACCATAATGGAATTGCTCCATGAGATTATGTATCCGTTTAGGTTTGTATTAGGAGACAAATTAATTTTACGAAAATACTGTGTATGTGCATGGTTTTAGTTTGGAAATAAATAATCTTTGAACAGCTTGTAATGAACTCCGAGTTCTCTATCAGATTGATAATGTTTCCCAATGGAATATGAATAAATTTACAATAACAATATCAATTTTGTTAATTGCTTTGTCTTTGCAGGGAAAAAAAAAGTCATGTAAAGTTTCTTGATCATTCTTATATTAGCATATACGTTGTATGACTGTTTTTAACTGTCGATGAAAGAAAACTTGAACCATTTTTTTCCTTTTTACTGTAAATGTACCATGTATAAAGTGACAGATTTTATTTTTTAAATACTAAATATACTCCACAACATGCTTACTTAAAAGTGGTCAAATTGCAGAGTTTGTTTGATGAATAAAACTGTAAAAAAAAAAAAAAAATATGATTTGAACTTGTAATTTCTATGTCCCCTCCCCACTCTATGTGACTACTGATCTGAATATCCACCCTATATTGTTTATTTGGTTAGAGATTTGACAAATATCCAGACAACTTTTATCATCAAATAAACAAATTCTAGACATAATACAGTTTGCTCAAGTCAATGGCACGAAAAACAAATAGGTACACCGTTAAATTTAATTCAGTTGAAGGTTTAAAAAAAATAAGGTTTAGAGTTAAAATTAAAATTTTCGTGTTCCTTCACTTTATCTGTAACCTACATGTATTTGACAGAACTTGAACAAGATGCGTAAAAGAGATGAACATTTCAAGTATAAAAGAGAAGGTAAAATTTTATGGCAATACGCATTTTTTTTAAAGATTTTTATTTACATTTTACGTCATGGAGGTCAATGATCAAGACATTTAATCGTTTGGCCAACCAAAAACGTTTTAATTTTTGTCATTTATGCTCCTTATTTTAAATGAGGTGTTGTATTGTTTTAAATTTCGCTGTAATTTATTCAGTTTATACACGTTATTATGTTGACGATATCATCAGTATTATTTTGTACATTTTTTCCAAAAATAAAATATGCCAAAATTGTAAATTGCTTTTTCAACGTAAAGAACAAAATAATAATTATTTGCAATAAAGCTTACTAGATTTCTCTCTCACCTGAATAATATTGAATCACTATTCAAAATGAATGAAAAGGAAGCAAAAATAATTAAAAAGTGAACATAGAAATTTGTCTTTTTATTATTTGTAGAAAAAAATCATGTTGACAAGTATCAGCGAAAACTTGCCTATAGCCTCTGTTATTATCCAAAAGTATGTAGCATTGCCTCTGAAATGAATTCGCATGTTGTTAGATTTGTAAAAATCTATGTACTTTATGAACTTACAATAAAATTCAACAGATTAAAATAAAGTGAAAACTGTTGCGTCTTTTCTTTTGAAGTTTGCACAAACATTGTTGAGGGAGATTCTATCCTTTCTCCAAAAATATCATATGCTTAGATTTTAATTTGAAAAACAAAATAATGGTCTTTGGCTAACAATAAACTCCGAGTTGCAGATTTAGGATTCTTTCGGAAAAAAGGGTATATAGTGAGATCAGCATGGGTTGGAGGCCTTCCGTAGAGAATATGTTGATGATTTTGTTACTGTTTTGTCTTTAATTAAATAAAATATAGGTCAGAAACTCGTAAACAATGCCAACGGATTGTCCATTTTAGGGGAAATACAATTTGGCTTGCAACGATATAAACATGCTATAATTGGTTTGTTCCTGATTGGTGATGAGAAAAAGCCTGTATCAATTATCGATTTTACTGTAAAGAGCCACGGCATGAGTAATTTTCTGAACCTCCCAGAACATAATTATTATCTCTTAAGTTCCTGCATTTATGACTTCATCTCGACAAATTTGGTCATCAAATAAACAACTTACTGGCATGATTAAGTTTGCTCTAATCAATGCCACGATAAACAAGCGTGATTCAATGGTTGTATAGAACATTCGATATAAATTGTTGATTCCGAAAAGTCTTCACATGGACCATTGTACACACGTGACGTTCCCTCAATTCAAACAGGACTTTAAATATTTTCTTTTTTTAGTTAAACTTTTGTTGCACGACTAATTAAATGCAGATGTCGCGAGGCCTTGACCAAGACAGTCTTGTAATCAATATTCATGTTCTTGTAAACTTGTTTACAATTCAACAGACAGTGCCTAGTTCTTTAGCCATTTTTCCACCTGTTTGTGTGTGTATTTGCAGTTTATAAGTTTATTTTCTTTTCAGCACATTGCATTACAAGATTGCTTTTTGTGTGCTGACAAATCCTGCTGGTGCACTTCAGAGTTCACATCAGCTTGGCCGGGTTCATCTTAAGGTCATTATTTAAGCAAAGTTTTTTCTAGATCAAAAGCAGAAAATTCGTAAAATTACTCAGAACATAATTTTTCATCGCCCAATTTTCCTGTTAGTAAGTGGACACCAATGTCAACAAAACTCAATATCAAATGTTTTTTTTTACAAAAATATGCATATTTGTGATGCAAAATTAACATACAAGTAGTTTCGAAACAATGAAATGATCAAACTACCAAATAGTCCAATTTCCATGTAACATCATTTGCTGATTATTTATTTTCATTGCACGTATATAAAACAAACCCAAAAATGCTTACGTGTTTATTATCAGTCTCCCAAAATCAGGTCAAGGAAAGTGCTTGCACTGTTTGTAAACAATACCACGTGACTCATTTAAACCTTTATAAAGCCACAGACTGGCCTTGTGTGAAAAAGCGCTCGAACTTCTGAAAGACTAGCAGAATCAAGACTAAACAAAGCTTCGACTTTGTGATTGGACTTTTATTGATAGCATTGAATTTCTTTGAAGGTAAGTCCTTATTTATTTTGTTCGCCTAAAACTACATTGTATTCACTTTCTTTTTATTAATTACAATTGTATTGATATTTTTTACGGCATATAGCATGCATTTATTATATTTATCGAAAATGGCTTAAAATGATTTCAGCAGAAAATGGACAGGAGAGAGTTGAGAAACTACGTGGATATGCCACATTTCCACCCTGAGAAAAACGTCATTAGTGGGGTAGATGTTTACAAAAACGGACGAATTCGACATGAAATCAAACACGATCTGGAGCACAAGACAACCCCCGCTCCCCCACCACTGAGGATCAGGTCATTTAGCATGGGATCTGAGGGCGAGCCCGCCTCACCAGTTGTTGGATCCCCCATTTCAAGTTCTGGATCCCCATTATCAAGCACTGGATCCCCATCTTCGTTCTCGGGAGGATTTTTGACAAAAGCGTTTCAAGTGGACACGAAGCATACCACAGGAGAACATTTGAAACATGAATTAGATTTCAAATGGCAGTAGGTACTGGTTTTATTGGATTTCCTGTCAACGATCTCATTTTGTTCGATTAAATCTCATGTACATTTAGTCACCCTACAGCTTGTGCAATAAAGACTCCCCTTTAATTTTATTAAGTATTATGTGAGTGATATGTAAAAGTTAGTGAATATGAGTATTTTTTATGGATGGGGTTTATTTCTTGGAGGTCTGAAATTGCATGTAAACAATCGTTTTCTGAAAGGGAACTTTTTTTGTCATTCTTACATTTTTTACTACTCAATTATAATTACCTTTGTATTTTAAGATTTATTAGATATTTTGTACACTTTGTTTTTTTAATAAATTTACAATAAAACGATTTTTTGTTTGTTTACATAGAATGAAATGAATATTAAATCTAAACCATAGTGGAAGAGAAAAGAGTTGGCTACTGCTTTTAAAAAATGTGAGATCTAGAGTAGTTTGAGGAGGAAAATAGTGTGGCAGATGGACGGACCAGCTATAACAATATGTATGATACCCTGACTTTCTAAAGAAAAGCGGTTATAACACTGTATTTTTAAAAAATAATAATTCGAAATGACTTGCCAGAAAAAAATCTAAATAGCATCATGAAATACTAAATACTCATAATCAACACCGAAAAATCAATTTTCGGTGAAATGAACAAAAAATTTAACAAAGTAGTCGCTGATTTAAAAAAAAAACAAGCTTGTCTGGATCTGCTGAAAAATGCAGATTCTTTCAGGAGATGGTAAGACCAATCTAGTGGTTAATTTAAGATTTATTAAGTTAATTCTATGAAATGCTTCAACAGCGTTAGACAACTCCTACAAAACGCAACGCATCTTCAGAGAGATAAATGAATTTTTTTTCTCTTGTAAAACCCGATAATCTGACCCGATAATCTGTGATTTTATACAATGTATTTTTAAGGAAAAAAAACAACAAAATAAAACAAATACAAACAAAAAGACGAATAAAAAAATCAAGAAAAAAAAATCAAGAGCTCCACAGGCTTCAACACTCATGAGTATCTACGACCTTTCTATTCTTAGCAGCTGATTTCTTTTTATGAAAAACATATTTTACTTAGTATATATTGTGGCCTACATATATATGTAACGCTACCCTAGGAGGTCATCATTTGAACAAATTTAAGTTAGGCCTTTGCTTACATGGGTACATGTATATATAACTGAAAAAAAATCTGCTGATAAATACAGTTCGGCCATATTGACTCAGCTGGTCCATAGGCCCCTTGTTTTTTTTATTAAAAGCATGTTCAGCTGAAATACAAAAAATATCGAGAACAGTATTCAAGCTCACATGTCCTTTAAACAATATAAATTTGGAGCAGAGCAATGACGGACCTCCAAAATATCCAAGTTGGGAACAGGTGCCATCAACTTGCTTGTCAATAACTTACCACATTTTAGAAATTGTTCATGTGTTGAATACCCCTGGTATCCTCTTGCGTATCGAATCAAGGAGAGATATAAACCCTGTCTGCAGGTGATGAATGTATATTGCTGCATAAGGGAAATTGAAAAGATAGTTAAAGTCATAACGTTTACAATGAAGTTTGGTTGCTAGATCTTTTTTAAGATAGGTTAATTCAAGTTTGTTCAAAATATGACCCAAAAGAGCTATCTACAGGGTAGTATGAGGAAGATCGGGTGACAGATGGACAGACACACTGGGATAACAACAGTATGTCTGAACCTTCTTTAGAAGGTACAAAAAACTTTTTAACCTAACATGGTTTTGTGAGCTAATTAAATTCTCAGTTTTGAATGAAAAAAATATTGTTCCTTAATGTAGAAGGAAAAAATAACGCATGGTGATTAAATTAAAAAAAAAACAAATCTATTAGCAATACACATCTGTGATGGAGGGCATAAAACACTGACCCCTGGAGGTGGAATCAGGTGTCTTGGAGGATTAAGTATCTCCTGTTGACAGGTCACACCCGCCGTACACCCCATGGGCTGAACAAGTATACATTGCGTATACAAATCTAGTATGAAAGAAAGGCTTATTTTTATAGTATGAAACAAGCCAGCCAAAATACGAATAAAATGATAGGTCAAATTTGCCAACAAATTAATTATAATGACCATGGATGTACAAAATGCTGACTTTAAACGAGGTTGTTGAAATCCTTGTGACATCAATTTTTCAGTGAGTAGCATGCCTCTCTTTAAAAATTGTTCAGAGCAAGGACGTTACAAAAATATGAAGACTTGTTTTGATTTTCATAATTAGCAATTCAAGTTGTAGTTTGTTTTTTTTTTACATATATTCCTGGCCTTTTTGCGCGAATATCAATCTACAACATCCTCGCTTAAATTCTTCCCAAATTTTGAGGGGTTTATATGTTGTTAGCAGGTTTTGAGTTAGGTCAACTCTTATGGAGATACCGAACAGCAATCAAGCACAAAATCTACTAAAACAATACAAATCAAGAGCAGAGCAAGATTGGACCTCTCAAAATATCAGAGGTAGGATTTAGTGCCATGGAGAAGTGAGCATACCCTGTCGAACGGTCACTCATGCCGTGTGCCCCTTGTGACGTCAGATCGGGAAAGCGGAAAATCCGTAGACAATTCAGTGTGAAATTACTGACCATTAACAGTTAGAATTCAACTGACTGATAGAGTGTGTTTACTGACTAGGTCATTATACTGACTACAGAGTATAACGAAATAACGATTTAAAACTAACCTGTTGACATCCTTCTTATATCAACTTGTTTGTCAATAGCTCGCCTCATTTAAGAAAAACAATCTCCATATCCAGGTGTAAGGGAAAGGACCTATATAGGCAGTTCCTGCTATCCAATCCTATTATGTTCATTCATAATAAAACTATTGTTTAAATTAAATAAGGGTATATTGCTACAAAGGAAGTTGGCGATATAAAAGTTTAAGTCATCACGTTTGTCATTAAGTTTTGTTGTCATAAGGTAACCTTTTACATCTTTTTAACGAAAAATATCCAAATATGAAACTGATGTGTCAGACTCTGTTGTATATTTTATGTCAATTCAATGGGATATGAAGGTCATTCTCACGTTTTTGGGTGGTTTACGTGCAAACATGATTTTGGTTATTGACCCTAGGAAATTAGTAATAAACTAGTTAGCCTATATCCCACTAACCTAACAGAAGGACGTTTACCCGTATTGCCATTTAACGATGGGAAAAAAGCCAAAGAAATGTTACGATGCCCTGGTTTACACTTATTTATAGGTCTTACTGCTCTTTGAATAGCTTATTTACAGGTAATCGACTTCCTATTGATGAAAATACAGAACTAAGTGCAAGGTTTTCTTGGCACCATTTCCGAACCGACAGAAAAAAATCAATTGAATTTGATTCATCGTGCTCACGTGCATGACATAAGTTTTGGCATTCTTCTCTATAAATCTGTGAAAAGTATTTTAAAAAGCTATTTATAACCGATATATAGGGTTATTTTGATTGATTGTTGTTAATTCCTGCTGGTTCTGGCTAATCACCAAAAGCACACAAAGCAGTTCCACTATAAAAGGAGAGAAACAGGCCAAACATTCCATAACAAACAAATTGCCAGCCAGGCTGCAGTACCGATTTGCTTTGGAAAAATATTACCAGCGCTCTTCACAGGAACCAGAATCATTTTGTTCGTAAGCATATTTCATTTTATCTAAGATTATTTGATCAATTTAAATTTAACCTATCAATAAAACAAAATTAAGACAAGTCAAAGAATTAATTTCACTTCTCTGTAAAAGGAGTATATATGATAAGAGCCAATTTTGCCCCCTAAAAATCAACATTTTAGAATGACATTCAAATATGTTTAATTGATATTAATATTGTAGAAGAGATTATATTAGAAATATTTCCAATATATTTTTCACATTTATTTGCACTCACTAGCTGTAAATGACATGAGAAATGATGCTATTTTTGCTATCTAACAAAAAAGCCAAAAATATGCCTCTTTCTTGATGTTTCTTTCTTATGGGAAACATAGAGCGCAATGTAGAACACACATAATTTTTCTGTCACTAATTAGTATGGATAGATACATCTTTGGTAAAAATATAAATCTTGTTCTAGGCTGCGCTCTATATTTTCTGGAAGAAAAACTGCTTGAAAATAAGCAGTTTTATACAAAATATGCTAAAATGGCGGGAAAACGTTATTTTTATGATGTCATATTTCTAAAATCACGGCATTTTGATCAAAATGAAAATGACCAATAAAGGTAGCATATATAGCTGTACAAATTAAAGCTAAATAGAAAGTACAATTAAGATATTCATTTTAAGGGGCCAGTTGAGACATTTACCATATATCGCTCTATTATGAAATTATGAAAAAAATTAATTTCTTGTTTTAAAAATAGTCAAAAGCAATGGACCAGAGAGAATTTAGAGAGTACATGAGAGAGGAACCTCATTTTCATCCGGAAAAGAACATCTTAAACGGGATAGATGTGCACAAAAATGGAAGGATGCGAGGACAATTGTGGAAAGAAGCGCACACACATGTCCCCTCCTCTGCAATTCAGCATCCCGTGCGCACGCGCTCAGACAGTGTCTGCTCCGAAAGTGAGATCCTACCAGTAGGATCCCCGCCACCCATGCCACATCTTGGATCCGCCTTTGCCTCGCAATTTTCTCTTCCTTCCAATGGCGGAGGATTTCTAACAAAAGCATTTCAAGTGGACACTTCTCACAAAGAAAAACACCTTTACCACGAATTTGACATTAAATGGCAGTAGCTAAGTTGTGATTGTACATCTTTTCAGTTGATCTCATTTGTTATCATTATATTTGTGCACTTTTAATCGAATACATTCTTGCAGGGTATTTCACTTTTGTCATAAGTTTCTCAGACTTGAGCAAGCATTGTGTAAGCAAAGTTTCATGGAATCTAAAGTCGTTTACTGCATTATATATACAGAAGTCGGTATGCACATGCATGTACAATACAAAAATACATGTATAGCAAAATTAAGAAATAAATTTAAAAACAATTCTTTTCCCTATATTCAGAGAATTGGAAAGAATGTGTTATTCAATGTGAAAGATTTTTTTTTGCAAAAATTAGATATGCCGGGTCATGTATTCTTCTTTGTTTCAGCTAGATGATCACACTTATGGATAAACTAATTCCATGTTACTCATTAATTGAAATTTCGGTATTTATGATACCGGAATTTAGGTTTTCAAATGTAATTTTAAAAAATATTTCCCCGCAAGCACTTTATAGCTTGGTACAAGTTCTAAAGTTTAGCGTAAATAAAATTATGACATAATATTTTAATAAGAAAATAACTTCTAATTCTATGATACTTAAG